GAGGGATTCTACATCCAAGGCGACGCTGGAGGATGGCAGACCTGTGGAGCTCGCACCATAATGATGGTGGGCTGAGGGCGAGCAGAGGGGCTGCCAGACGACAGCGGTGGAGGAGGCAGGAGCGGGTGGGAGGGCAGGCATTTGTGAGTCTCCGGGCATTACTCTGGATCCTCTGGATCAGAAGCCCCCTCTAGGCTGAAAACGGGAACAGGATGGCGCTTACGAGGAGCAGGGCGCTTTGGGCGCTTTCTAGGAGCGGGGCCATAAACGGCTCACCCGCAGGGGGCGGAGCTCCTCTCCGTGCTCACACCGTCCGCGGCTTTCTCCCTAGTGGCGGGCATTGTTGCCGGCTCTCGCACCTGGTCTGACGGGTTCAGCTCTACGTCCGGGGCGATTCTCTACTCAGTCGCTTGGCTTTGCCCTGGCTTGTGGTGGAAAATGGCTCTCCGTCAACGGTGGGCTCGGGCTGATGCACCGCATCTCAGGGAGATGGTGGGCTGGGCTCTGGGTCGGGAGTGGTACTGGCGAGATTCTCCTTGGAACTGACGGTGAGCGGGGATCCGTTTCTCGCCAGTATCCACTGCACAAAGGCGGTGAAATCAGATCGAGGACCATCTTCGGATGATGGCACTCTGCACTCGATGTTAAGACTGGCATCGTAGAACGCACAGAGCGCGTCGTCCGGGTAGCTGGTGGTGCTTGCTAGCAGCTGGAACAGTCTAGTATGGTCCTCGAGAGCTTTGTCCCCCTGCTCCAGCAGGAGGAGGAGGTATTTGGGGCGAAGAAGGGCATCCATCAGGGAACAACGGAAAAAAAAGACACTTGGTAAAAACCGGAAACAAAACGGAGGGTAAACACACGGAGGTTACTGTTTATTTGGGACCAAAAATTATTCAGACACTTTGACCTGACCATGTTTTGGTCACTGTTATCTGACATTATCAAGATTAATTTGTTCTGAGTTCTTGTCATATTTTATTACAATTTTCTTTTTGGTTTGACTGTATGTGTGTGTGTGTGTGTTTGTGTCTAATGTCACTCTATATACAGTGGGTACAGAAAGTATTCAGACCCCCTTCAATTTTTCACTCTTTGTTATATTGCAGCCATTTGCTAAAA